CAGGGCTGGAGGGGTCTGTCCCGGGACCCACGGGTGCCTGGGGTCCTCGCTGCTCACCGGGCTGTCGCACTGTGGCCCTTCCCGAGATGAGCACCACAGATGGCCCCACACTCAGCTGGAGCCTCCCTGGGGGCAGGGGGTTGGTGGGGGAAGGGAGCTCACAGTGGGGCTCTGCCGGGAAGGGGGGCCTGAGAAGCAGGAGGGAAATGCCCGGGGCACAGCTGGGGTTCGAGAGACGGTCTGGGGTGCAGACGGGCCCCAGGCATGGGAGCGAGATGCCCAGAATTCAGAGCTGGGCACCACCCAACATTCGAGATGCAGCCACATCTGAGCATTGACCCGTTGGGACATGAGTGACCACCACGGCCCCCAGCAGGTGTCCCTGGAGCCTGGGCGGGGCAGGCTGGGCAGGGCTGCCCCCTAAAGCCGCGGCCCTGGCTCTTGCAGGTCCCAGGAGGCCCTGGCCGACTTCCAGCAGGCCCTGGCCCAGCTGAGGGGGAACGCCGCCATCGACTACACGCAGCTGGGCCTGCGCTTCAAGCTGCAGGCCTGGGAGGTGAGCGTGAGGGCGGGGCCGGCCAGGCCTCTGGACGCTGTCCATGGGCAGGTGGCCACCCAGGGGCCCCCCCTGTCTGTTACTGTCACGGGGGGGCTATGTGCACAGAGGCTCCCTCTGGCCAGGGGGCCCCCAGTCCCCGCTGGCCACTCTTCTACCCCAAGGAGGCTGGGGCCCCGGGGGAGAGGGGCATCGGGAGGCGCCCCCCATGCCCCCAGCACCCCCAGCAACACGGGTCCTTGGAGCCTCTGGGGATCGTGGGAAAGGCCCGTCGCGGGGGCCCACAGCCCACCTGTGTCCCCGGCCCAAGGCACTGAGCAGTACAGGTGGCTCCCAGCAGGCCCTGGTGCGGGACCCAGCGGTGGCAGCGGCTCTAGGAGGGTCGTGTTGCTGCAGGCCTTACCCCAATCCCACATGTCCATCAAAAGCCCTTTCCCATGGGGGGAGGGGACAGCACCCCAGACCCGTGGGGTGCAGTGCAGGGAGGAAGGGGCCATGAGGGGTCCCGCCGGGCGCAGAACGGGGGTGAGACAGGCCAGAGGACGCCCCAGGGATGGGCGGTGGGCCGGAGCCCTGGGCCACCGTGGTGGGTCTGGGAGCGACCACCACTGAACCAGGCACCCGGGAGG